TTTACTGCTAGCACGGTATCATCCGCGTAGCAGCCGAGAAAGTGATTATGAGGGCTATGGACTACCTCGTTTCGCTACTGCACTTTTAATTGGTGTTTAATAGATGGCGACACGAACAAGCATTTTCTTACGTCTTAGCCCCGAGCGAGCATATAATAACGTGATCGCTACAACGCTGACCTGGAGAACCATGCACTTATGTCCACTGGAGACAAATGATGAATTAATCACACACTACAAGAAGCTTCTTAACACATGCTCCATCCCACAACCTAAGGACGACACGCATGTCAACAGACTGGAGTCACTCAACAATGCTCCACTATGCAACAACGCGTCCAAGCACACTCACGCACTTCAACAAAGCCCATCAAAGCAACTATCACATCAATGAACTGGGCTTATAATCACGCCCACTACATGGGTTCATTTTACAACGACTAATCACAGTTCTTCATGTATCAGAGTTAATCAGAATTGCTAGGGAAAGGAGTGTGCAGAGATCTCAAGATCTAATCAAACGGTCGCCCTACAAATCAGTTTGAATACCAGAAACTTCCTCATGAGAGCTCTTTTGCTCTAGCGGGACGGCATTCGACTGCTTCCTAAAAGACCCAGGATCAAATCCAAACGTCATTATAAAATTTAGGGGCAGAAGAAACTCGTGCACTGCTGCACTTCTCAACAGTGCTAATAGATGGCAACACGAGCAAGCAGCTGCATAAATCGCACCTCCAAGCAAGCATGCAACCACATGATCTCTACTAAGTGATCTATCGTGCATCTAATGCACGTTGGTGCGGCGTCTTTCGAAAGCTTATAAGTAAAGGATAGGTGATCTTGAGAGCGGTATAAACATCGTGAAAGATAGTTACACCTTAACTGCCCACAGCCGTAACTCTGCCATCTGAAGCGGATCTTTGTTGTTTTGTCTGAACGATAGTTTTGTTTTTGAGTGAAAGAGAGAGCAGAAGCTTTCCATGACAGATTTCCAGCTTTTTTAGTGATACTCGATTCAGCGAAGATGATAGGAATATTAATTATGCTAGTCTTAGTCTTCTTGTCAATTATTGTTTAACAAGGGACATGGATAGAAATCCTGTTTAATATGGAATACTCATTTTTACCAGCTTTGAGTTCATATATAACAACTTTAATAGGAAAATGTTCCTTCGTAAGAATGTAAAACTGAATCTGTTTTTGAAAGAGCATCCAAAGCTCTCTTCTTGGCATGATTGGAATGAAATCTCGAGTGGACTTCTTTTATAAAGGGGCCGAAGTAGTCGTTGATTCCATCGTCGACGAGAAGGGATTTTAACTCAAGTTACTTGGAAACGCGGATAGGTGATAGTGGCAGGCGTGCCTTCTTTCCCACACGAGTTGGGACTTGAGAACTTTACATTCTGAAATTAGTTGAATTTTGTTGTTCGTCCAAGCAGCTGAAGGGTCAAGAATTCTTGAAGACTGGACTCATCAATTTTTGGTTTTAAGTCAGAATGGCTAACAGCGGAACAATCAGTGTCGCTTGGATCAGAATCATCCGTAACAGAATTTGCTTCCTATGAAATGCAATTATCTGGAATGCAAACCTATGAAATGCAAACTGGAAAGCCATCAGCTAAATTTCTCTCAATAATTGACCAAAAGCATCACTTGTCCATGATTGCATCAGCGTGGTTCTTCCATAGCTGTCAAATTCATACAAAGTGTTTTGGTAATTCATCATGAAAATTTTTGTGCTTGGCTAAACCTTGCGTGCGTTGTGCGATAACGTCATCCTGATCGTTTGATGATCGGTTCTTCTATTAGATCAGCATAAAATTCCGCTCTCAAAAAGGGAAAGTTTGCAAATAGTTTGCGAGGGTTTCTCTTGCTTATTAAGCCCAAAACAGTCTTTACGTGAATGGACCCATTCTGAAATTTCGGGAAACCCGTTCTCTGAAGGTAATAAGGAAGATGAAGATAAGGTTTAAGGAAGGAAAGACAATAAGTGAAGTATAGCTTAGCGTCTGATTCTAAGAGTGTTCACATCTGAACAGAGACAGGAACGCGAAATTTTCTTCATACATTATCGAAAGTAACCGTTACGGTAGTGCAGGTATGACGGTATGGGGAAAACTAATGACAGAAGACCCCTATGCATTTTTAACAGCCGATTTGTGACTGGCCATAGGTATTGAGATGATATCTTAGAATCTTATTTAAGACATTTCAGAGGTGTATATGGATCTGACTCATTATTTATGTACAATAATGATCTTCAACTTCCAGCAAACCTCCTTGATGAATTCCTAGAAAGTGAACTCATTGAGCAAATGCCGTGGCCAGCCGAATCTCCTGATCTTAACCCGATAGTGAACTTAAGGGAGTACCTTAGAAAAATAGCTGAAGGAAGACATCCTGAAAGTCTAAATGAGTGCGAGAGTTCCCCCAACTGTGGTTAACAAAATTATTGCCACTATGAAAACACGTTATGATATGTGTATATAAGCCAAGGGAGATCACATTCCATATTAAATTCACAAGCCTTAACATTTGAGTTATTCTTCTTTTGTTGAGCTCTCCTTGTAAAATATTATTACCATTTTTATTGTTCTATGCTACAGCTTATTATCACATGCAGTTCTAGCAATTTTTTTTCACTTTGTATTTATATGTTATGTACCATTCTACTCAAATTCATAAAATTATAGTTCATTTCCCCCCCCCGCCAATGGCAGATTGTGAACAGTTACAGTGTAACAAAGTCCATTAATCTATACAAGGCCAGATATGGTGGTCTCTTTATTATAGAGGCACCTAATAGGTGGGCCACCATCGCTTCCTATGAAGGGAAGGACAGTTACAACCGTGCGTTCTCTGGGATTCGAACCCAGGCTCTTCGGTATCGTACATAGGCTTCCCTAACCACTATACCGTCTGCGCGGCAAATTATAGTTCATAGTTTGAGAGAAATCTGTATTTTATGCACGTAAAGATAATTTTGGACATGTGTGTGGTAAACTTTGTATACCGGAAAATAAGTTTTTTTGACTGTAGACTAGAATTTAGAAATGAAGTACATGTTGATGTTACATCAGTTGTTTAGAAATGCATTTAAGCCAGCTGTTCAATAAGTAAAAAACGTGTCATTGACTCAGACCATTGTAAAAAAAAAATTAAGTTGAAATTTGCAATAATATTACTTAAAAAATGAAAAAAGAAAGGTTCATTAAATTTAATACTTGTAAAGCTGAAAACACGAAGATCCACTTAGAAATGAAATTTATTCAACGCATTTACATCACAGTACGAATTTAGCGTATAAATTCTTTAGTACAACTATTCATATATTTCTCTTTTGATTGCTTCTGTAAGTAAAGATTTATCCAAAATCAGAAAAACTTGACGTCGTAAACAATGAACAGAAAGAAGGTCTAATTGAGACAGCGATAAGTAGCTCAGCATGGTAACCCTACGATAAACATTTGGCTTTTCTAGCTGTTTCAAATTCTCTTTAATGTTATGCGCGGAGCCGAAAGTGATATCAAGGCATTAGTGCCTGAAATGGGCAGTGCTTTATAAATTAATAAAGAACTTCCTTTTCCTATCCTTTAATTTTTATTACTGCCAGAATTTCAAGTTATTCCGTATATATTCATTTATTTGTATTTGCATAATTCCAAAAGACTTGTTTTTAGCGATTTAGATATATTTCGTAAACTGTTAACTCTTCCAGTAAGTACCTTTAATTTGCTAGTGAATATAATTAGATATAGACTGTGTATCATCTCAGAAACATTTCATTATTTTCTACTCTAAACCGTGTCATCATTGGACAGTGCATACATCTACTCCAGATTTTACATTATTTCATATTATCTACAATTTCCCTCAGGGAATATCTCCTAAGACTCTGATAAAAAGCCGTAGATGGTTACAGGCCTGATATGTGAAACAGATCGTTGCATAAGTTCATGCTGAAGGCTGTCTGTATAACTAGGCAAGCAGTCATATTTGTGTAAAATGTAACAAATTAATTTTTCATGAAGTATTTCATGCTGAGTAAAGGTATACTTATATTACACAAAAATGAACCTTCTGAGTGCATATTTTTACGAAAATAGTTAACTATATTTCACTGGATGAAAAAAGAGAGTTTGAAGCATGTAAGAAGTAATTTGATTAAAGTTTGATTAACCAAACCTATTCATATCTGTGCTGAATATGAACTTCATCATGGGTTGCATAAAAGGCTGTATGAAATAAGCATGTACATATCTATGCTATGGGAAAAGTTTCTGTAGGTAAGGTATATTACTAGTCATTTTAACAAAATAATAAATCAATGTGCTACGTAACATCTTATTTAGACAAAAGTTTCATTGAAGCATACATGTACTCCTTTACATAGGACCAAAACAAAATCTCTGTAAAATTTGTGATAAATAATTTTTAAAAAAATATTTCAAAGCTTTGTAAGCTTATTAACCTTGACGAGAGAACACAAGTGTGTGCAATGTGTATGTGATTTTTAGAGAAAAGAATTATATAAATAAGCTGTCACAAAATTCACTCATGAAAGCAGTCTTGTGTGAGCTATGTAACATTTTATTTAGAGTCGAGGTTTTTATAAACAAACATATTTATTCAAACAGAGAAACTTCATGGGCGTGAGGTATTTGAAAAAGGCATTAAGACAAAAGAGTCATTTAAGCAAACATGCTTATTGACACAGGAGAGAAACCTCATGTGTGCGAGTTATGTAACAAGTCATTTAGATTAGTCATGGAAGAAAAATGTTATTTGTGTGATATTTTTAGCAAGTCATTTAGAGTGCTTTAAACAAGCATATGTTTGTTCACACAGGAAAGAAACTTCATTTGTGTGATGTATGTAACCAGTCATTTAAACAAAAGGGTTCTTTTAAAAAACATCTACTTAATCATGCATGGCAGAAACCATATGTGTGTGAGGTGTATAATAATTCATTTATAGAGAGGTGTAAATTAAAGAATCGTATGCTTATTCACACAGAAGAGAAGCCTCATATGTGCGAGGTATGTAAGAAGTCATTTAGATTGAATGATGATTTAATCAGCCATATACTTATTCATACAGGAGAAAAACCTCATTTGTGTGATGTATATAACATGTCATTTAGACAAAGGGGAATTTTAAACAGGCATATGCTTATTCACACAGGAGAGAAACCTCATGTTTGTGAGATATGTAATAGGACATTTAGTCAAAAAAGTGATTTAAGCAAGCATAGGCTTATTCACACAGGAGAGAAGCCTTATGTGTGTGATGTATGTAAAAGTTCATTTAGACGAAAAGCTGCTTTAAACAAACATGTGCTTACTCACACGAGGGATAAACCTCTTTTGTGTAAGGTATGTAACAAGTCATTTAGACAAAAGGGTGCTCTAAACAAGCATATGTTTCTTCACACAGGAAGGAAATTTCATGTGTGTGATGTATGTAATCAGTCATTTAAACAAAAGGTTGCTTTAAAAAAACATCTACTTAATCATGCATATCAGAAACCATATGTGTGTGAGATGTGTAATAATTCATTTAAAGAGAAGTGTAAATTAAAGAAGCATATGCTTATTCACACAGGAAAGAAGCCTCATATGTGTGAGGTATGTAAGAAGTCATTTAGATTGAACAGTGATTTACTCAGGCATATACTTATTCATACAGGAGAAAAACCTCATTTATGTGAGGTATGTAACAGGTCATTTAGACAAAAGGGTATTTTAAACAAGCATATGCTTATTCATACAGGAGAGAAACCTCATATTTGTGAGATATGTAATAGGACATTTAGTCAAAAAAGTGATTTAAGCAAGCATAAGCTTATTCACACAGGAGAGAAGCCTCATGTGTGTAAGGTATGTAAAAGTTCATTTAGACGAAAAGATGCTTTAAACAAACATGTGCTTACTCACACAAGAGAAAAACCTCATTTGTGTGAGGTATGTAACAAGTCATTTAGACAAAAGGGTGCTTTAAACAATCATATGTATATTATTCACACAGGAGAGAAACCTCATATTTGTGAGATATGTAACAGGGCATTTAGTCAAAAGAGTGATTTAAAGAAACATATGCTTATTCACACTGGAGAGAAACCTCATGTGTGTGAGTTATGTAGCAAGTCGTTTAGACGAAAGCATGCTTTAAACAAACATATGCTTACTCACACAAGTGAAAAACCATATGTATGTCAAGTATGTAACCATTCATTTGGACAAAAAGCTGGTTTAAACAAACATATGCTTATTCACCTAGGAGAGGAGCCCTAGGTGTGCGGTTATGTAATAAGTCCTTTAGACAAAAGGATGAATTCAAAAAAGTGTGCTTATTTATGCAATAGGAAAACCTTAGGTGAGATTTGTACTAAATTGTTTTTGACAAATGTGATAGTTTGAAGACATAGTTGGTTTTCTGCTTAAAAGAAGTCTTATGTCTTTTAGAGAAAAAATTAGTTTAACGAAATTATTAGCATATTGGTGCTCAAAAGAATTGTCCATATAGCCTGAAAAATCTCTTGTACATGATGAAATATTCATTATTTATGGTAATTTGGCTATTTTATTTGGCTATTGATTCTGAGCCGAATTGTGTTTCCATTAGAATTTCTATACTTCATTTCTTAGTGATAAAAAGCTTGATAAAAAGATAGCTTGATAAAAAGAAATAGAAATGAAAAATCCAGAGGATGTTTCTGTAAGTGGAACTTGGCGAAATTTCGCATTTGTTGACATTAGGAGAAAGGCAATTGTAATCCCAACAAGTGTTGCAACCCAGACAGTGAATTTTCCTGAAGGACAAAAAGAGATTTTTTTTTCCTGTTTACCTTGAGTTATAAAACATTATGGTAAGAGAAAAATAAAAGTTTGAAAATCACAAATTCATTATATGATTTTTGCAAAAGCCCTCTAAGGCTGCTATCATACATCCGTTTGTTTCAGAAAAATAACTGATTGAGACAATTTTTCTGCTTTCTCACAACAGCCAATCACCATAGATCCCTTTGGGGTTAAAATGTAAAGGGGAAACTGGTTCTCCATTACCAGCAAGCTGACGGCATTCGAAGCTGATAGGTTCAAAATGAACAACTTGCAATTTTTTTCGTAAGGAAAAAGAACATTGTGGTCTTTCTTTTAATAGCTTTAATAGCCAGGCAGAAAATTTGTCCGAAACAGGTGTTCATATAAAACAAATGCATGTGTGATATGAGCCTAAGGTGTCATTTCCAGGAAGCATCAAAATTTGAGATGATCATTTTTGAAATTGTTAGTAAAGTATACATGCATTTTTATCATATTTTGTGATTCCTTTTGGTGGTGATCATATGTCGCATATATTTATATAGTTTTAATATGTATTATCAAAATATGCATAAAACAAAAATATTAAAATCTTCATTTTTAGTGTATTTTGATCATCCGCATGTAAGCAGTTGTATTTAATATAATAATGTCTATTAGCTGAAACTGAAATCGATATTACTACTAAATAACTAAACAGGTGTGTAAAAAATTCCTTCCTCCAGGATAAATTTATATATGTAATGTTTAATAAGCTGTAGCATAAATCAGAATAATTCTGAATGAAAATGAAATTATGATAAATCTATGAAATCTGCATAAAGAACACTTATGAAACTGCCTAATTATTATAAATTATATACCGGGTGGCCATAATTAAACTGACAGTGCTCACAGTGTTCTGTAGCGCGATCTATTTGCGAGATTGATGCCACATTTTGTAGGAAGATTAAGAAAGACGGGGGACGAAGGATTCCGCGAAAAAACAAATTAGTTCCAAAAGTCACCGCTAGGGGAATATTTGGCGCTGTGTAATAGAAAATGGAGTGTTAACAAATGCAAATTAATACAGAATAAAATTACCTTTTATTATGCACATTTTCTGATTTAGTTCAAGTGCAGTATGGCATCTGATTTAGTTCAAGTGGCAGTAGGCTTGATTTAGTTCAGTGCAATGGCACACTTTTAAAAAAGCGTTAAAATCTACATAAACATCGATAAAGTCTCGTGATCTGCAATATCACGTATGCTGAGCACGCAAGAAGTTCTTTATTCAAATTTCATGTTACATATCCATTCGCACAGTGCCAGCCGCTTGGGTTTTAAAAAACAATGTGTTACGTTTCGAATCAATCGGATTGAAAGTTTATGTGCAATATCTCCTTCTTTAGTCAAGAGTGTGTTACTGGTCAAATTCGTTTACCTCAACCAGTGCAACGTGTCAGCCGCTCTTCGTAATTTTAGAACGCACAAAAAATGCGTAAAGGTAACGGTCCTGTGTCAGTTAATGGGCTAAAAGCAATGGTTGCGATGTTTGAGAAAACAGGTTCTCTGGAGGTTCAGTCAGGCTGAGGACGAAAACCTGTACTACAGGATACAATCAAAGTACTTGCCATGGCGATTGTCGACAGAGGACCAGACAATATTGCTGTCACCTCTAGCGCTCGTGGAGTAGCTCGGAATATGGATATGCCTTACAGTACGGCATGGAAAATCTTACGAAAGATTATCAACTTCTATCCGTACAAGATCAGCTCTGTACAGGAGTTACTGTACCCCGACCATGATAAGCGATTGACTTTTGCTCTCACCTTTCTTGCCAGAATGGAGGTGGATGATGCTTGGCCATTTAAAATCTTATGGCCCACTTTTACTTGAATGGAACTGTGAATACCCAGAACTGCCGAATTTGGGATGACAAACCACCACATGCAGTCACAGCAATTCCCTTACATTCACCAAAGGTAACTGTTTGGTGTGGGTTCACAGCGGAATTTATCGTAAGTCCATTCTTCTATGAGAACATTAACCCGACAGGACAGGAAACCTGTTCTGTTACCGAAGAGAAATATCGCCACATGTTGAACTGTCATTCCGGCACTTCAGAAAAGACGATGCTTGGGGGAAATCATTTTCATGCAAGATGGAGCCCTTCCACACGTTGCTGTATGCTACGACAGAAATTCACAACATAAAGAGTCATTAGCCGCTACTTTCCAACTGCTTGGCCACCTCGGTCGCCTGATCTTACCCCATGCGACTTCTGGCTATGGGGTTACCTTAAGTCCAAGGTCTATCAAGGAGTGGCCCAGGACGTGGCTATGTTGAAGGATAACATATCACGGACTGTACGGGAGATTCCTGCAGCCATGTTCCTTTCTGCTGTTGTGCATACTGTGCACAGAATGCAATATGTGGTCCACAGCAACGGCATCCACATTGAACCTCATTTGAATGCAAAATAAAAGGTAATTTCTGTATTGATTTGCATTTGTTAACACTCTATTTTCTATTACACAGCACCAAATATTCGCCTTGCGGTGACTTTTGGAACTAATTTGTTTTTTCGCAGAATCCTTCGTACCCGTCTTGTTTAATCTTCCTACAAAATGTGGCGTCATTCTCGCAAATAGATCACGCTACAGAACACTGTAAGCATTGTCAGTTTAATTATGGCCACCCGGTATATACATTTATATTTATCATGTATGTAATCTTTTCAAGGATGAAATATACATGCGCATACAAAATAATTAGACTAAAAAAAAAAAAAAAAAAACTAGAATTAAAATAAAGATTTTCTATCTTGTTTTCTAAATTATCCACTATATATTCGTAAGAAAAGAAGCTATGAAACTCATTGAAATGTTGGAGAGACTTAGTTTAAATTATTTAAAATGTGAAACTTATTTGAATGTTGTTTTATTTTATTGACTTTGTTATTGCAGAGTGCTGTAAAGCATAATGCATGATAAAATATATTAAATTAATAAAAAATTAATCAAAATATCTGTCCTATTTAACGAAAACTTTGAACGTATTTGTCGTAGATTGTTGTGCACAAAATCATTTCTGTTAAATTTTCAGAACAGTGATACTTCTGAAAAACCATATACTTTTTTCATAATAGAGAGAAGGTGAAAATGCTCATATAAAAAATATTTAACAACGAAAAAACAGTTTTATTTTAAAAGAGAACATTTTGATTATATAAAGAAACAAAGTATGACTTTATATGCAAAGTGGTAATTGTTTCTTGCTAAGACAATAAAATGAAGTATGTCATGTTCTTAACCCCCACAAGGGACTTCACGCATGCAGAGTCATTAGGTATCTTGAAAAAGAAACCAAAAAAATGTACAGTGCCCTCTCTAGGATTATAATTTCCAATCCCCATTAGGATATGCTTGCAGTTTGGCAAAGGTGTGTAGTAAGGATGGAGAAAATACTTTACAGTCTCTGCTCCCTACAGTGCAACTGGAGAGCAAAGGAGCCAGTTGCAAATCCTGTTGATCATGATTTATTGTTCACCATATCTTAATTCAGGCACAACTGTAGAGCCATTGTTTCATGAAACATGAAAAATGTATTCCCTTGGCAGGGCTCTAGTTCAAAGCTTCCTGATTGCTGGCCAGACATGCTTGCAATTACACTGCAAAGTAACACGATAAGGAGGGAGAAATTACTGTGCATGCTTACTAAAATAAGTTTCAGCTGAATTCTTCTCAACCTCTGAATTCATAGCAAGAAAAAAATACTTACTGATCTGCATAATCATGTCATTTTAATGCATGTAACTTAGGTTTTTTCAACTGGTTTGAACTGAAAGAAGGAAGAATTTTTTTTTTTTTTTTAAATTTCTTGAAAATATTTGTATCTTTAAATATCTGTCCATTAATTTTTTTCTATAATTTACAGCAATTTTATATGCTTTTAAAACATTTGAATATGCTATATGTTAGGTTTAACACTTGTGTTCTTCACCTTTTACTCTTATGTACACATTGAAGGCAGATATGTTTCATTAAGTAGATTTCTTATTCTTGCATTGAAAGTTGTTTTTCTCATTGTGGTTTAGGCATTCTTTGGACATTTTATAAATTTGTTTTAGTAATTTGATTAGTTTATTTGAAGTTTGTTACTAGTTTGTTTTAGTAATTTGATTAGCTTTGTTTATGTTTATTAGGAAAACACAGTCACCAGTTAAACCTAATAGCTCAGGCCATCTTTGAGTTGCATGTTAAAAAGCTGAGACCTCTGGGGCAAATATTTCTTCTAAAATTGAATGGAATTAATATTTTGTAAACCAGTAAAATAATCATCTGTGTTATAACAATATTTAATAGTAAAAAGTAGATTATCATAGAATACAAGTTATGTGTTCTAACAAGAATTTTGCTACTGCAATTTCATTATTTGCTTTCCTCAAGTTATAAAAAGATACATATCCATTCAAATTTTGATATTTCATA